TTTTTTTTTTTTTTTTTTTTTTTGTTTTTTTTGCGTAACATTGTCTTCTAAAAGAAAATTGACTCACTGTTCAGTATGTAAATTAATTTGGAAACTTTATCACACTTCATCCATATTTTGTCTTTTTTTCCCCCTGCACAATAACTTAAACATTAACGCACTAGCTCAAATCTTTAGCTGAAAAGCGAAGAGAAAAACAATTGGAAATATCTTTCATAGCAATGATTTATCAGTGAAGATCAGCTGATTGGTGTTCATATGATTTTTTGTAATTATCTTGATATTATGAAAAAAAAAAGCAGAATAAGGTCACCAGAAATATTTTTGCAGTTCAAAGGTCCTGGACGTGCTCCACGGACTGCCGGTTGAGTCTGCTGCTGTTGTTTTGCCGTGTAAAAATCAAGATGGTTCCAATTTTTAAAATCCTTCCAAATGCTAAAAAATTGTCAGAGTGTAAAATTTGGTGAGGGTTTGACAAAGTGGAGAGACAATAAGTAGAAAAAACTTTTGTTCTAGGCGCTTTATAGGTAAAATAATTTCAAAAATACTTTTAACCACTCTTCTGCACCTTCGGTAAAGTATCGGCAAAGACTGGAATTATCACCTTCAGATCGTCTTTTACCATTGAATGTCTTCCAGCGCTTAATGACTTCGTGTTTAATGATAAAAAAAAAATTAGGAGGGAGACATGGCTAGTCATGATGATCGCCAAATATGTGCCTTAAACTAGGGAAATACGGAAGGTCATCGACTGACGGCATCGAAACTGATCGCAGTTGAATATATTGGCCACGCGATACATAGCCGATACATTGCAGTAATATTTTTCAGCTCAACTACGGTGTTATTTGTATTGTCTATGACAACGCTTCAACAAATCAGTCACAAGTGGCACGGTGGTTTTTTTGAGTTTCAGCAAAAATTCCTTAACTATTTGTTTCTTTCCGAGTCCTTTGCGTTTTTAAACATCTCCAACATTCGACTTCGCAAATTCTTTTTGCACGTTTTCATTTGTAGGATACAACCGATTGAGTATAGTTGTTGTATAAACTTTGTTTGTCTACATCATCCCAACGACAGTAATGGAAAATACGCAGTTTTGTAGATGTTACAGTATTATACCAAACAAGTCAAAAAAGACAAACGACCAATACCAAAAGATTTTTATGATTTATTACTTACTAAAAAACACCTTTTTCTATTTATTTATCGCCTAGCGTTGAAAAAAACGTATTTGGACAGTTGGGCGTTTGTCATGAAAGGTAAAACGTTCTGTGAATCTCAAGGGTTTTCATGGTCGCTTGACAGCGAGTTAAAAATCCCGAATTTTCTTTTCTTTTAGTCTCAATTTGGTGATAATTTGTGTGGCTTGTGGTTTCTTTGATATTAACATTTTCCTATCAAATTTGAGTTTTCTTGCAGCAAGACCGAAAATGGTTCACCAACCAAAAAACGTGCTTGTCACCGGAGGATGCGGTTTCATTGGATCCAATTTCATAAACCACATGTTCTATGTGTGGAATGATGTGAATTTTGTGAACTACGATAAACTGATCTTGAACTCCGATGCATATTACATCAAAGAAGAGATTGTTCAGTCACGCCGATACAAGCTCATTACAGCAGACATCAGAAATCGGCAGATTATGGCTAACGTTCTACAGGAGAACGACACTGACACCATAGTTCATTTTGCTGCCGACTGTACTTCAACCAGATGCTACGGCGATACCATTGAATCGTTGGAAAACAACGTTATCAGTTTCATTGAGTTTCTTGAAACAGTTCGTGAATTTGGTCGAGTCAAGCGTTTTATTCACGTCAGTACCGATGAAGTATATGGTGATTCGGATCTAAGACCAGATGAGGAAGGAAAAACAGAAGATACAGTGCTGCTGCCTGGAAATCCGTATGCGGCAACTAAAGCGGCTTGTGAAGCATACGTCCACATGTATCGCTCAACTTTCGATATGCCAATCATTATACTACGTATTAACAACATTTATGGACCTAATCAATGGGATGTAAAAGTTATACCCCGTTTTATTGAATTTGCAGAAAGAAGAGAAAAATTTGCTATTCAAGGGACTGGAAAACAACTACGTTCATGGTTGTTCGTTGATGATGCTGCTGAAGGGATTCGTGCGGTTGCAGAAAGGGGAAAAATTGGAGACACATATAATTTAGGGACTTACTTTGAAATGAATATTTTGGATCTCGCGCACAAAATACAGGCAGAAGTCGATAAACAGTTGGGAAGGGATCCTACTCCTGTCGAATTTATCACAATTCCTGACAGGCCGTACAATGACTTAAGATATCTACTGGATATAAGCAAAGTCTATAAAGAACTATCCTGGAGCCCAAAAATTCCGTTTGACGAAGGGATTCGTCGAGTTGTAAAATCCGCATTAGAGCCTCAAAAACGTAGCAAAAAAATGAGAGTTGTGATATATGGTGGTGATGGGTGGATTGGACAACAAGTACAAAAAATGCTAAGAGCACGTGACGTGGAGTTCGAAGTAGCTCAGTGCAGAATTGGGCGACAAAGTGACCAAGAAGTCGAAGATGAATTAAACCGTTTGTGCGGTACTCACGTGTTTTGTTGTACTGGACGTACACATGGTGGAGCGTGTAACACAATTGAGTATCTTGAAGGTGGACCAGATAAAGTTCAAGTGAATATACGCGACAACCTTTACTGTCCGATGGTTCTAGCACATTTATGTCGTAAACTTGGACTTCACTTCACTTATGTTGGTACTGCATATTTATTTTCATATGACAGAGAGCATACCATTGGCGGAAAAGGTTTTCTGGACAATGATTTGCCGACATTTTTTGGCAATTCCTACTCTGTTGTTAAAGGATTTACCGATCGGATGATGCAGCAGTTCAACGGTGGTATAAAAGAGAACTTGACAGCAAGAATTACACTGCCATTAAATTTCGCACTTAATGAAGAAAGAAATTTGCTTACTAAACTTTTAAAATATCAACACATACTGGATATTCCAGTCTCTATAACAATTTTGGACGACTGCTTGCCAGCGCTGTTTAAGTTGATGGAAAAACGGATTGGTGGACATATAAACCTTGTCAACCCGGGACCAATCAGCTTGCACCAAATACTTCAACTCTATAAAGAACTAGTTGATCCCCACCTACATGATTATAGTATAATTGACAGCACAACGGAGAAGGGCAAACAGCTGATCGCAACGAAAGGTAACTGCGCTCTAGACACAACACTGCTTCACGAGCTATCTCCATCAGTACCGTCAGCTATCGTAAGCTTGCAAAATGGATTTCGACGTATAGCACAGAAGACGTGATAATTGCACTCAAAAATTTTTTTTTCTCCTTTATTGGTAAAACCAGCAGTGATGAATTATTCTATTGTTCAAAGTTTACATGAACTTTCTTCCCGAATAAATTTTTTTTACTCCTATTCTTTGTGTGACAGTTAATGCAGCTTTACTTTCAATCAAGCCGTCGTTAAAAAACACGCTGTGTTACGCAATACCGTCATAATCAATAGCTAAAAAATGGTTTTTTCTTTCCACCTTAAGCAAATTAAGACGCGCTATGCCGCTCTTCAACTGACGAGTCTTCCAAAGACCTTTACATGTAGGGATAGTAGAACCAGGTGTTCATCCAAAAAGTGTTCCTTCACCAAAAAAAGATTTTGCTTTTGTTTTATGCATCATTGTCAAAAGTCACACAGTCTATTCAGCAACTTATGAAATGTAGTCACCACTGCTGCTTCCGAACGTTGAGAGGTGCTCGAAAAATTAATTTTTAAAACTTGAAGTAAATCCTTGGACCCCGGCTGGCACCACCTGAAAGAGGCTTCAGAGGAAGTTTTAACGGTTTCACGAAATACAAATTGGTGCCGGAATGTTGCCAAATTTTCATGTACTCCTTGTCGAAATGAGCTCCAGCTTTCCATTGCAATAATCATGGATTTAACAATTTTTATCCATAAAAAACAGCTTACTTGCTACTTATGAAAATGAAAATAGAGTTGCGGCCCGATTTAAAAAAACCGGCATTCTCCTTTACTGAGCGTAGGAAAAACTTAAGGGAGGAAAATCATCAATTTGGAAATGGCCTTACAATTAGAAATATTCTAGCCTTCATTAAAGTCATTCGTAGTAAAAGCCAAATCCCTGGAAAACACTTTAAATTTAAGAATTGCGCGCGCGCGAGGATTCGCAGTTAAACAGTCTATCAATCGGTAGTTCGCATTTGTCAGTAGAATGACAGTTTTGCTGGTAATTTGCAATGAGGATTTCCGATAGACTATAAAGAATGAAAAGCGCCATCTATCAGTACAATACTAAGTAGTTGAACGGCCCAAAGGTAAAATGGTGTAGAAAAACCTTTTTCGATGGACGATGATGTCATATTTATTCACAGTTATTCTTGCACAGACATGATTCTCTAGTCCGAAACAGTTACTTCTACAGGTATCCTACGTTTAAATAAACAGCATAAACTATAGGACACGCGGGAAGGTGTTGTGTACCATCAATTGTCGCCATGTGCTTCCTAAAATCCCAGTAAATTAGGTATATTTTTAGATATAGAAAAGTTGTGGTACTCTTATGTGAACCAAATAAACACAGAGAGAAGCAAAATCACTATGAGCCTTAGAACTCGGATAAGGCAGTCTGTATAAAACCATTTTAAAGCACTCAATGTGACAAACAGGAAGACGTCTGCATGATACAGGAAATTACAGGGATCAAATTCAGTAGCAGTGTAGATGTAAAGCGTACGGGATAAGCCTTACGTTCAGGCTGATCCAACGAATTGCATTGTAAGTTTACCTTATCACTATGGAATTTTGCCAAAAAAGGAGCACATCAATTACTTTTGTAATGATAACATCGAAGAAGGAAAATGTTGGAGCCTTAAAGCTATGGCCGTAAGGAAACTGTGGAAATGCTTTTAGGTACGTTTGAGAAGACAACTAAAAGCATAAAGCAATTGAAATTGTGATTTATCTAACATTTACGGTCTGCACTTACAAGGAGTCGTGAAAAAAGAGCGAGTGGAGGAAGTAGAGGAGTCATAAAAGTAGACTTTATGGTTTCATCCAGAATATGAGGAAAATTAGCACAAATGCACATGTAGAGAATATAACAGAATATATTATAAGTAACTGGTTTATCACTAAAACAATGGCTGCACACTAGGTAAATAACTCTACTAGAAAATGCTTTGTCGACACTTTTTATGCCATCCTCTGTACTGTCAATAGGTATATACTTCTAAAACAGATCAACCACCAGTCGGTGATGTCAAAAAATTGATAGCATGACGGACTTTAGTTTAATCTACCAACTTTGAATGCTCAGTTTAATGTAATAGTAATGGCAGTTAAAAGTTCTGGTCGTACAGAGAGAAAAAAATTGAAAAAAAAAGTAATACTCTGAATCCCCCTCAACAGAAACATTAAGCAGTATATGTTCGTTTTGGCAACAACGATTCACATCTGCTACGAGATAACCTTGGTAACGCAGTCTCGTACACAATACCTGCCATCTTTCAGAATTTATACAACTGACACTGAGTAGTACCTAAAGCACAGAACAGACATCAGACCGAACAACACGAGAGCCATTTCGAGATTTTGATTGACTCCTATATTTAATTTTCAAGAAGCTCCGCCCATAGGGCTGAAAATTTTGTCCGGTATGGTCTGATGTAAGCATTCTGAATAGTTTGACTGTTTAGTACCTGTGTTATGGAAAAATTTCGTTTACGTTTAACCCATTATACTCTAGTTGCTATTTTTAATTTTAGGGTAGCTATTTCAGTGGGCAATTTAGCGACAGCTTGTGCTTTCTAGAAATATCTTTTACATTACTTTTTGTTGCACTGCCAAACAAAGAATACTGTAGAAAGAGGTATCAGCAGTTTAAGCTTTAATTATATTACTCTCCACTCACTTGCAGGTAATCTCTGTAGATGGATGAGTTGGAGACGGAACTCTTGGACTTATTTTTTAGTTCTTGAAATTATGTTCAGTTGTAACAGTGGAAGTATTTCTGGTTGTACGGCTTTAGTACCGTATTCAGCGGTGAGAATTTTGGGTGATTTCGAGGATGACTACAAAGATATAGTATTAGGCGGCCGACGCTATCGACTGAAACAAAAATGGAATGATAACGGAGTTTCCGGCGTTTTGTGGGAGTCGGTTAGGAATTTTATGGAAACATTTCACTAACCTGAATAATGTATGTTTAATCAGCCAAATGCCTGTCGTGTTGTTCAGTTTACTATTTAACAGTTTCTTTACACTCAGGCAGTTGTGTTGTCTCGGTACATATATGCAAATACGGATGTAATTCGAAACAAACGGGTACTAGAACTGGGTGCTGGGCTTGGGTTACCAAGTATGGTAGCCACCAGATGTAAAGCAAACTTCGTACTTGCAACAGACCAAAAACTAGCCATACCTTTACTCCGGGAAAACATTGAACTAAATGTACTGGATTTTACAAAGATTAAAGTTATCCCACTGGACTGGCAAAATGACTTGCTCAATGAAACTTTTGATGTAAGCCTTTTTAACGATCACTCAAGACAAATTATGCTTCCGCCGTTACTCCACTCAAGGTTTATACAGCTAACTAATTTTAGGTAATTCTTGGTGCCGATCTAGTATATAATGCCGAACTTTTCAACCCCCTGACTACAATGTTAAAACGACATATGGGACCTAATGGAATTGCCTTATTCAGCAGCAGACTGCGATATCCGAAGGATAAAATGTTTTACGAGAATCTTAGCACTGCCGGTTTAGTTGCTAGAGAGGAATTATACGACGAAGAAACGGATATTCATGTTTATAGTATATCAAGAATTAATGCATCTTAAACTGCGATATAGGGCAAACTTTACCAATAAAGCTTTTTATTAGTGTACTTACAACTGCAAAGTGAAATCTATATCCAAATAAAATTCTCCCGTATTGTGTGGACTTTAAATGAAAAATTTTTTATTCTGCGTAATGTTGTATCATGCTGCAGCATTGCGAGGCGCACGTAAGTTCATACATGTTGATAAAACGGGTGCAACTTTTGCATAATTGCGGCCCACTACATTCACATCGGCATTTCACGTAAGATTTCATGTATTCCATACACCGTCTATCCTTTTTACAGTCAAAAATTATTGGGTGTCTGCAACATATCCAGCACTGGTCTACCTTCTTTTGCCGGTCGGCCACTACAAGTTTAACTAAATCGAGGAGCATTTGGAAATTTATACGAATGTCTGCCTTTAAGATCATCTGGAAAACAATGTCGTCGCGTTCGTGATTTACAAGTAGGTATATGAAAATGGTGATGGCAAAGAAGTTTTTTAGCAGTTTTAGTCTTTTGTTTTTTTCACTGTTAATTTATGCATTTAACTAGAAAAGATTTGACGGATAAGTAAGTTTGAACCAACCAAGTACACCGGGTACATGTCGGTTACTGGAACTATCTAATCAAAAACCAAGCAACAGTTACTTGACATTGGTTTTCAAATTCCTCCTTCGTAAAAACTCCTCTGACGTCCTCTATCTCTTTACAAACATCTTTAAGCCTTTCACACACCATTGAAAATGCGCGATTTATATTAGAAGCATTGAAAAAATTGTGGTTGATAGATACGGCATCACCCTTTAAACGTAAACCTAGGTTGCCTACTTTACTTTAAATAAGGATATAAGAGGAAACAGATTAACCACTTGATGGAAACAACAGTTTTATTAAAACTCAACAGTCATTTAATTTCAAAACGGCCTTACCAGATTGTGAACTTGATGGTACCAATTAGAAGGCACAAAGACGATTTCCCCTGGCTCCTGAATAAAAGATATAATTTTTGCGGCTTCCCATTTATCAGGCATTGTCCTGATGTCGCGCACATAAGTATCACGGCATATCTTGAAATACTCTTCATTTCCAATAGGTACAAAATACCATAACTTTCTACCACAAATGTTAGCTGACCAACTATAAGAGCTCATGACATCGGAGTGTAAAACAGTCCTAAAAGCGTTGTTGTTACTTAACTGACTTGATTAATATTTGCAGACAAAATACTTCCTACTAGCAACTATGAACAGTGAAAATATTGAGGAAGTACCAACTATCTTTAACACCAAAGTACACAAAACGATAATCCCCAAAACAATTCTTATCACCGGACCACTGCTCATTGTTTATCCAATCAAAATTAAGGAATGACTGTAGATCATAGAATTCATAGGATGTTCCGGAATCTCTGTAACACAGTGGGCAGTTTAATTTACATTTTCATTAAACGATATCTAGTGTCAACGACGTTAGCCATCATTTCTCATCACATTCTGCTTTAAAATTTCACAGACCTTTAAGCTCATTGAAATTTCGATCATTTACTGAGTCACTAAGTGTGGGAACAAGAATAACGGGAGACAACCAAAAGTAAGAGCACGTTCTCTGAGTAAAACTACATGTCTACTGGTTCCCTCAATCGTTTAAGACCCTCTGCAATTTAACCCTACCCCAAGTCACAACCAGGAGCACTACCACTTTGGCTTAATCGCGAAAGTTTATTTCCCGGTCACAAAAACCACACTCACTGAAAATAGTATGCAGAATTCTATTCCAGAGCTAAAGGAAGAAATATCAACTTCTGTTAAATAAATAAGCAATAATTATGGAACCATAACCAATTACTTTTGGAAATGCCAATCTTTAAGGTATCTTATATTTCTGCGACTGCCCGTTTCCTTTGCATACTGCATGTATTCTGAAACCCGTGTATCAGTCCGTTCTTCCGCTTCTTCGTCAGCCAGTGGCGCGATAAGTTCCCCTTAAATAATGACAATCAGCAAATCATCGCTGCTTAATAGCAACTGCATCGTTCTGTTAGAATTGTTGTATACTTTGTTTAAAAATATAACCAAGATACCGAAAATTAAACTTAGCAAATAATCAGTATGCAATGACTTCTTTTTAATCCAAGTTATAGGTAGTAAGTATGAACAGTGTAATTACCGTAATTTGTGGAAAAATAATCAAAGTTTGGCGTCTGGTTATTATTATAATTTTCTAGCACCCATTCTTTCCTGCTCTTCCAGTTCCTCGTCGCCGTGCTTTTCAAAATGCATGGCTTGTTCTGTAACATAAAATCAACAAACAGATCAATCCAATGCGTTGCTTCAACGTCAAACTTTGGGACTGCTTCCGAACACTGCTCCTTCTCTGACCTGAGCATTGAAATCTGTAAAAAACCTGGTGAAAACTTTAACTGGCAAAGCATAAGTTTTACTCAGCTACTTTTGAAACCATCGTAGAGCAACAGAGCTCAAAGTTTAATAAAAAAAACTAGAATAAAATGTGAAAGAAAAACGAATCTAATAATGCATTTAGCAGAGTGCTATCAACAGATTAGAAACACTGTTAATGACAATTTGGATTTGGTTGGCACACATTCAGATAGAGCAACACTGCAGCTGTCTATCACAAGGCTTGAGACCGATACTGCTCAGCGATTGCTTCCTAGCTTCGAGAAGCGACTGTGTATGCAACCAAGTATATAGTTAGCATTCAGAAGATTTTAAAAATTCTTTTTTAATTTTTATTTAAAACTTGTCGCTGTTGAGCAAAAAAATTTTCAATTTCACTTGTTGCTTGGTGATCTGATATGCTTCTCCACTTGTTTCCCAGGCCGTTGGAGAAGAATATTTGTGAGCTTCTCATCTGCAATTTTTTATATTAAGTGTTACGTAATTGATCTTTAAATAGCAAATGATAGTAAGAAGAAAATTGAAAGTTAATTGATTTTATTCCTTGAAAATCAAATGCTCATTGGAATCTTTTGAAAGTTGTGACAAAAAAATCATATTTTTTCTTCA